TTTAACCTATTCTCGTTATCCCCTATAAAGGAGGCTTAGGCTATCTACGACCTATCTATTAAAGCCGCTCTTTATAAAGGTAAAGAATATAAGCGCAAGTTTAATGCTATAGACACTGTCGAGAAGGTACGGAAGAGGCAAAAGGAACAGCCTAATCGCCTTGTTCGAGCAGGTGCTATTAAGGCTAATAAACTCCGCTCTTAGCTTATATAACAGGACAAGGAAATAGCACTCGACACTTAGTAGAGGGGGCTACGAGACGCCGAGACTGCTGTCGCTAAGGTACGTGCCTATCGGTTAAAGTGTAGTAAGGCCTTCCGTATTGTCTTTAATAACAATAGCAAAGTTAAGTTTACAGAGGTAGTATTATAGTTAGTCGCTATCGATAAGCCGCCGCCGTTACGCGTCTTTAACCTTTAACTTCTTAATCGCGACAATACTATTACCTATAAAGACAGCACCCGCAAAATCGGCGATCCGTACGCAGATATTATTAAGAGATATAGGCGATATAATAAGGTTAGCGACGACGGCACCGTTACCGCGACGTAGACACCTATATAGCTAATATCGCTTCCCTTACGTACGTGCGACTCGGACGAAGAAAGCGACCTTCTAATATAGCGCGACCTCGCCTCGAAGCAACGATTAAACGGCTTAATCTCTTAAGAGCCGGATATACGATTGAATTGGCTTAAACAGATAGAAGCGGTGCTAGCTAAGAACCTGTTTCTACAACTCTAGCCTTATCTACTACACCCTCGCTACTAACCGGAGGCTACTTAGAAGAAGAGATATTTCTATAAAGCACTAAAGAAGTCGGCTAGATACAAAGGTAAGGTAACAGCGACTAGCAGTGCGGCCTGTCTAGTAAAGATTAAAGACATATAGGACAGTAGTAGCTAGCTATTCACTCTAGCGCAGGAAGTAGTCTTTATATGCTCGAGATATAGGCCTACTTATAAAGTCGTAGATTACATAATTGACGCTAAGTATGCGCTAAGACGGCCACTACCTAATATCTACGTTGTTTAGTCGACAATTCTACCTCTACATATTCACCTGTCTATTTACAAGCTACTTATTAGTCTATATCCCGACAATGGCACCCCTATCGAACGTTTCTATCGAGATTTACGTATAGATTACTATAGAAAGCGCGATTTTACGTTTGGCTTAAATCCCCGAGCTAGGCGAGGGGCGGAGTGTATAACAGAGCCTCGGATACGGTTACTTCGATAGAATAGTACGTGTAGGTCCCGTTCTTCGGGCGTAATATAGTTAGATTAGTCTTGTTCGTAGCTATACCGCTAAAAGCTTGAAATAAGGACTATCTAGCTACTACCCTTAAAGGGTAGATCGAATACTATATAAGCAGGGTATATTAGCAGGTAGATAGGGTAGTAGTAGGTACGAGTAGTATTCGATAAGGATCTAGGAGGAGAGGGAGGAAGGTAGGAGAGTTGGCCTAACGCTAAGCGCTAAGCCCTGCCTAAGGCACTAAGACCCTAGCTTTACTCGGCCTAATTACATGCCAATTACGTGTAGCCTCTTTAGCTCTAACATTATAAGGACGACGAGGAAGAATAAGAGGTTAACTTTAACGATTTCGAGTAATGTAATTAGTTAGCTAGCGCGCGGCAAGCGCCGTAGGCAGGTTAGGGGAGAATAAATATATACGAACGCTAGCTTTGCCTATCGATAGATTGTGCTATAACTAACGTATTATATTAATTAATTATATAGGGGCTAAATAAGTGTAATTACCGTAAGAATCTCCCGCTTATTACAAGTTTATAGGTATTGTAGTTATATTAAGATCGAAGCCTAAAGATAGGTAGAGTTCCTAAAAGTTCTCTTCTTCCTCCGCCTCGGCTGCTTCCGTCGCTATAATCTTATCCTATTTCTTCCTTATAAACTCGATAATAGCCTTCTTTAGTTTCAACCGTATTCTATCTACGCTATTTAGCGCCGCTAGCTAGTCGTCCTTTGTTAGGTTATAGATAGTCTCCGGCGTCTATCTAGAAGACACGAAATAAGCGATATATAGGCGTAATTCGTCGCAATCCTAAAAACCGCGCTATAAGCTAACCTAATTAAAGAATTCGACTATTAGCTTTAAGGACTATATAATATTGCGAAGCATCGCCGGAGGGTTACATAGACTAGTACGAGCAAGAGCGCGAATAGGTGTTTTCGAAGGAGTACTAGGAATAATACTAGATCTACGTAGCTTGCTATCTAAGAAGTGTCTTATCTCGTTACTAAAGGAATTAAGGATAATAGGCTAAGAAGCGATAGGAGCCGGTCTACGAGGTAAGTCGCCCTCGCTACTACGTACCTTTATCTTTTTAACCTCGCCCTTCTAGAACTATAACTTAATCTTCCTCTTAATAACTATAACCTCGATCTTTATAGGCATCCGATTATCGAGCTTACTAGTTGTCTCGTTACGCTTCTACTCGCTAGAAGAGATAGCTTTATAAGCCTTAATTATTGCGGCTTCGTAGAACGGAAAGTAGTTCTTACTATAGTCCTTTAAGGCCTTATCGCAGAAGCAGGCATACTTACTAGCCTTATAATAATTTAGACAGTCTTTATAGCTATATAAGAAGTCTCTAATAATATAGTAGTCCTACCGCTTCTAGGCCTCTAATTTAGCTATTATAACGCCGGCGTTAGCAAGCTGAATTAAGGTTAGATTTGAAGCCGGTTTACTAGGCTTCTTACTACCTAAAGGTCTAGCGGCAACTAGCCTCGGTTTAGTTAAGAAGTTAATATTAATAAAGACATTCTTCCGCAAAGCAAGTACGAGGCCTTTAGCAACCTCGAGCGCCTTACTATAAACCTCGTTACTATCGATATTATCTCTACCTTAGTACTAATCGCTCGTTTATACGTTCTTTTAGCTATCCGCTCTAATACGGATAATAACTCGATTAATTGCCGCTAGTTTATTAAACTCCGCTATCTTCGCCGCCTACGCGTTTCTATTCTAAGCTTCTAGCTTGTTAGCCGACAAGAACTTTATCGGTTTATATACTATTATCCGCGCTGCGCCCTTCTTTATTATATTAAATAGAGTCTATTATCCTTTATAATAGAAGGTCTCGTCTAAGAAAGAGCTAGGTTAAGTAACTGTAACGTTGCCGGTAGCGAGCGTAGTAGTACTGCTACTAGTAGTAGCCGCCTCCTATATAGCGTTAAAAGAGGAGAAAATAGAGGTAATAGCGGAGGAAGAAGTACCTATTTTTAGTAGACAAACGTTACTATTATCCTTTGCTAGTACTATAGCGGTCTCCTTGCTTCCTATAGCGGAGGGCATTGCGATTAGATTAGGCTCTTCTATAGTAGTCGCTTTACCCTTCTTGCCGGCGGTAGACCTACTCTTAGTACTACTCTTTACCTACCGAGTTGTACTAGTACCTCGCTTTATTAGCAGTAGACTAATAGGCTTCTCGAGAAGCTCCTAGACCTTCTTCTTTAAAGCAGAGACTATAGAGTTAGCTTATTAGTCTTCTAATCGCGCTAGCGGTATACTAGTAGTCGTACGAGTCGGTCTTAGCGCTATTATTGCGGTTATAGTCTTTAGAAACAGTCAAAATACGCTTATAAGGGCTAATTCTCTATTGTTTAGCTATAGGTAGGAAGAAACACTAGATTCTATATACAAAACAGCCCCTTTAGCCCACCCCTGAGCGGCTCTGCGGAGGAGGAGGCTCTGCGGACCGTACTGACAAGTTGGAAGGGTTACACAGTATGTGTTGCATGGCTTTTGAATGGCGCTGACGACGGAGAACAAGAACAGTGGAACACAAACAGCAGCAATCTTGATAGGGATACTGTACCCGTCTCGGCTGGTTCTATGCAATTCGGATGTTGATGGTATGTGATGACAAAGCTGGATGCGGATCCCGATCAGAAGCAAGTGCAAAAGGAAGAGGTTGGTGGCACGGCACGGCACGGCATGATGGACGCCACGATGACCAACCATACGGACTGCAGTCCGCGTTTCTGCTGTGAAGACTCATGTCCTCGATGTCGTGGTCAAACGGCAGCAGAAGGACGAGCGCGCCGATGCATAATCAGCAGTCGTCGTGCCTCGTTGCTTCTCGCTGCGCGTGCAAGTCGAGTCACTCACCGACACCACACAGAATGAGAGCATGAGCCATCACGAGATCACCAGTCGGCCCAGAGCGCCACAGAAGCATGTGGCGGGGAGGTGTTGGAAGACATCTGCCACGGTGGCCAATAATACTACGGCCTCGTGTCGTATGGAATGGGCCAGCGTAAAGTCGGCATTGGTTGATATAGCGGCCGCGGGACATGCTCCGTCATCAAGATGAAGAGTCATCACGCGTCGGCGGCCGTCCACTTGCAGATGCTCTGGGCGTGGCGCGACCAAGCTTTCTTCTCGTAGCCTTCGCGTCGATCATCGACGCTTGGGCTCGAAAATTTTCAGGCTTGGAGGAACACAAGCAGAGCGCATCCAATGTCAGAGTTGACACTAGCGCGATCTGGTGACCATAGCGCATCAAGCAGAGCGATCGCTGTCGATCTCATCTCCCTCATCATCACCATCACCACCATGGAGTATCGCCAAGCGGCTGGCTACGATGAGACCATATGCCGAATGGAGAGCAGCCTGAGCAGAGGTCACAATCACGGAAGTGGTGGCTTTGTATCCAGCAGCGTGAAGAGCGACAATAACGGTCTCGTCAACGACAATGCTTCATTGTGCCTGACAGGTTGCACAGCACATCCAACAACGCATGACCGCTTCACAGCCACGAGAGCTCCGTAAAGTTGTGATCGCGAAAGATTGGCTCACCGCACGCGTGGTCGGCGTGTGCGGAAGCTACTTGGAAGCACAGGCGAGGAATTTACAATTTTACACATGCGCTGCTAGCTTCCACGCCAAGGCATCGCGAGCTGGAATCATCTTCTACGTCATGCATTGTGTCTGTTGTCTCTCCCTTGCGTCTCTCAAAAGGCGCCCACGGTCGCGCGCTTTGCTTCTGTACACACCTCTTCATCCCTCCCTACGAGCGTCACGTCCACTCCCAGACAAGACACCCCCGATCAGTCAACATGGGCAATCAAGCTCTTCAAATCAACAGTATGTCACGGGCCCTCGGAAATAGAACGAGGCACGCGCTGATCTCCTCTAGACGCCCGGGTCAATGGCGGTTCTGCTCAAATCGGCATTACCGTTCGTGGTAGCGATTGGTACTGGACAGTGTGCGCAGTCATGACCGTCGCTACCTTCGCCTTCATCGCTCTTTCTGCCACAAAGCCACGACAGGACCGCATCTTCCACTACATCACCGCCGGTGTGACCATGGTCGCAGCCATCGCCTACTTCACCATGGGCTCCCATTTGGGTTTCACTCCCATCGATGTCGAGTTCGCGCGCAGCGGCCCGAAAGTCGCCGGTGTCAACCGTGAAATCTACTACGTTCGATACATCGACTGGTTCATCACCACGCCACTCCTCCTCATGGACCTGATGCTCACGGCCGCCATGCCATGGCCAACAACCGCCTGGGTCATCCTCGTCGACGAAGTCATGATCATCACCGGCCTCGTCGGTGCTCTCGTCTCCTCTAGCTACAAATGGGGCTACTTCGTCTTCGGCTGCGTAGCACTCATCTGGATCGTCTACGTCCTCGTCTGGGAAGCTCGCAAGCACGCCTACGGCGTCTCCTCCGACGCCGGCAAAGCCTTTATGTTCTGCGGCTCGCTGACAGCTCTCCTCTGGACCCTCTACCCCATCGCATGGGGCGTATCTGAGGGTGGAAACGTCATTGCTCCAGACTCTGAGGCTGTCTTCTACGGTATCCTCGATATCCTCGCTAAGCCGGGTTTCGGTGCTCTGCTTTTGTGGGGACATCGCAATATCAGCCCTGCTCAGCTTGGTCTTTCGATCCGTGATTATGACGGTACTGATCCTGTCATTCATGAGAAACGTCATGGGAACAACGTCACTAATAGCTCTAATGGTGTTAAGAATGGCTCTGGCGCTGTTCCTGCGAACGAGACTGTTTAGAGAAAGAAAGCAAGAGAGTCAGGGCCTTGATCGCACTCAGTCGTGCGTGGATGAAGAAAAGAAGGAGAAAGATGCTCATCGCTCCGCCCCACAGTGCTTCTTGGATCCTTTGGCGCTTTGCTTTGCTTTGCTTTATTTTCAAGATATCCCCGGCCTGCGATGGATGATTCATGAAACGTTGAGGATGAGATAGTTTTGGCGTTGCTCCAGCTGCTTTTTATTAACCTATCTCTGTAATCTCTGTATCACACGACATCTAATACCTCTACTGCGTACAACGAGAAGGCTTGCTACTCTTGCCTCCGGTCTCAAATCAAGCTCATAGATCTATTTGAGGTGGGTGGGGGGTTTTGGGTAGGAGTTGGAGAGGACGGGTGAATATTGTAAGTACTGTAGTTCGCCGTTGCGGACATACTCCTCTGTGTGGTGACGTCGGAAAAGGAAGTGAGAGAAAGTCATCCTCAATTGGGAAGAACACGATCATGTTCGCAGGAAGGAGGCATGGTCGGTCTTGCCATTGCTCCACGCCCTATCTACAGCCCTCCTCCACCACCCCAGTCGAATATCTTCGTCGTCCACATGTAATCTCGCACTCTTCAGTGCGCCGCAACGCTGGTCATCGCCTCTTTCCTACCCTATTACGCTGTCACCACCGACCTGTTGCTGGATATCGTTGCGTCGGTTCTCTTGGAAAGCACGCCACATGGTTCCTGCAACCAAAGAAAGCACCAAAGATCGGGAGACATTCATATCGCACCGACACCGACACCGACACCTGCTTGCGCTCACTTCACTTTCAAGAATTCTTCGCCCCGGCCTCGGACCCTCCTATCGGCATCGACGCGGAAATCTTCATTCAAAGACGAGTCTCGCGAGCGCACCTTCTTCAACCATCTCGAATGCTGCATTCAGCGTGAGTGAGGGCCATGCCGACTTGAACCCTCGCCACCCTGCTCCCACGTAGCATGGTGTCTCCATACTTCCCTCTCATCGAAATCGATGGTGGAACTTACTACCGGCCGCCCTACTCCGCGCCAGATCTTCCGAGCACGCTCAGATATGGCATGGTCCCGATAGCCGTCCTGGCGACCTTGTCTGTGGGGAGTACCATCACCCTCATCGGATTCATCGTGAGCCGCTTCATCACCTGGAAAAATCACTACCGGACCTTCGTTGGCTACAATCATTATGTTGTCTTGGTGTTGAACCTTTTGGTCGCGGATCTTCAGCAAAGTATGGCGTTTCTCATCGAGTGGCATTGGTTCAGGAAGAATCGGATTTTGGCTCCTTCGACTGCGTGCTTTGCGCAGGGTTGGTTGCTTCATTCAGGAGATGTTAGTAGGTAGGTGTATGGTGAGAGGCGTTTTGGTGAGAAGACTTTGGCTGACTGTGGAAGTGGCTTCTTCGTCCTGGCTATTGCATGCCACACCTATTACACTGCAGTCTACGGAAGACGCGTCGGCAACAAAACATTCGCAGGTTGCATTATCTTGCTCTGGATACTGGTTTACTTTCTCACTGCCATCGGTGTTGGGCTTCGAGGGCACGAATTCTACTTCACTGCTGCCGGGGCATGGTGCTGGGTGAGTTGCAGATTGAACGAAAGTCGAGATATCTTTTTGCTGTTGCTGACCGTGAATGAAGGTATCGCCTGCTTTCGAGCTTGATCGCCTCTGGTGCCACTACGTATGGATATTCGTCGTCGAATTAGGGACCGTTGCGATCTACCTCATGACGTTCCTTGCGTTACGGAAGAAGACGTCCCAGCTCTTAGTCGGCAGCACGATTTCAAAGTACAGCCCAAATCCAGCTACCATCAAGGCAGTGAACCGCATCACAATCCTCATGACGCTGTACCCTCTGGTCTACGTTGTCCTGACATTACCTCTGTCTGCTGGTCAGTGTGTTTGTGCAGGCCTTTTGATATATTTACTGACTTCCTGCAGGACGCATGTGGTCCATGTCACATGGCAGCAGACCAACGAGTGACCTATTCTCCTGTATTGCAGGCGCACTATTGACATCATGCGGCTGGGTAGACTCACTGCTTTATACTTTGACTCGAAAGCGACTGCTCGAAGACTCCATGCCAAGCAGGTCCAGAAGCAGAAGAACCACCGACGGAAGTTGGGAAGCAGACGGCGTTGGGAGCGCGGGAACAACACCCACGCGAACAGTGGCCATTGAAGGAGGAGCGCCGGAAGACCTTAATATGAGGACTTCTGGCAACGGTGGTGTGCGGTTGCCCAGCGCGGTATTTCCATCATCGAGCGGTAGTATCGATTCAATCCTTCCAGGAAATGGGCTCAATGGCGCAGTGAAGACCGAAATAGCAGTTGGTCATAGGAAAATCTCCGAGGTAGATCGGTACGAGCTGGAGGCACCGCTGCCTGCGAAACGATGAGAGAAGCAGCAGAGTAGAAATTCCTCAAGATAGCACGACGAATCGAAGCATCCCATGCTGCACCTTCACGGGAGTAAGTAGGTCCAAGTTCACAGATTATGAAACATTTCACTCCCTCTGCCGAAAACCTTGGCACTCCCATCCCTCTGCACCAAATACAACAACTCATCCCCCTTCACATCCTTCCCTCCCTCCTCATCCCCATCAAACCGATAAACCCCTCCCCCCCTCGTAATCCTCAAAACCCCACTGACATCCTTCGCCGCTCCCGTCTCCAGTTCCCGAACACTCAGCACCCACCCCGCCGAATGTGCCTGACTCGTCACAAACGCCGCCGTTTCCACTTCCATGGGCGTTGGTCTCGTCGATTTTACGAGCGGTTGGTCGGCGGAAGATATCAGGATCGTGGAGTGCACTTGACTTCGTAGGCGGAGGAGGAAGGCGTTTAGTTCTGGCGTTGTGGTTGGGGTTGTGGAGAGGAGGATTTCGGGGGAATCTAGGATTAGAAGGAGGAGGGGAGGGTTTTCTTTTTGAGAGGTGAGGAGGTGGGATATTTGGGGTTCGGAGGAGGTTGTGAGGTTGTCGAGGAAGGTGAAGTGGTTTGATTTTTCGATGTTGAGACCCTAGAAATTTTTGGGAAAAAATCAAAGGATTTAGTTTTTGTGTTTTTGTGTTGTTTTTTTGATATGGGAGAGAGAGGGAGGGAGGATGGGGGGGGGGGAAGGGATTTTATGGGGGGGGGGGGGTTTTTATTTTTTATTACCGTTCCACGTCGGATTTCGGTTTTCCAGAATTTTTGGTCGTGGAGCCAGCTTATGAGTATGATGGATACCGGTCCTTGCTGCGAATCTTGTGATAAAGCTGCGCCGATGAAGCGTGTGGTGAGCCAGGTGGCGCTGCATGATAGGGTGGATGTTAAGAGGGTGAGAGAGGTTTCCGGTGGGAGGTGGAGGTAGGGTTCGAGGGCTGAGGGGAGGGGTCGTGAGGTCATGTTTCACGATTTTCTTGTTTGAATTTTTGAATTCCGGTATGCTCTAGGACAGGAAGTGGTGGGAGCGAGATTGTTTTTGACAGGTCTGATGAGAGTGTGAGTTTGGGTGGAGGTTGTTACTGTATCGGGGATGTCTCGGACCGAGGAAAGTCCGATGGCAAAAATAACAACACTGGTGATCTGCTTCTGCCACAATCCTCGACAATCACAACACCTGGCAACTCCGTACATATTGTACTCACTTCGGGAGCAGAATGCTGTACGTGCTCGGCTTCCATCCGCGCGCACGCAAGTTTGCCTCTCCTGCTTGGACAGCAGTATGCCTCATACCTTCATTCGGGCAAAGACCTGTGCTGCAAGGCCGGCACGGTAACCAGCTAAGACCGAAAACTACCAATGTGACAGAATCTAAGAAGATCAAGAAGCGGTGGTCCAAAGCTGAATATGAACAAGTTGTGGCGTTGCGCCAACAGGGCTGCACGCTGAACGAGATCGCCGAATTGACAGGCCGAAACATCAACAGCGTGTAACACAATACTCAGGGGAAGGGGCAACCGTTTTCTTCGCAGCGAGACCAGCCACCAGAATGAACTTTGGTCGCCAGAAGACTGCATGCGACTGAGGGAGCTCAGAGCACGCAAACTTCGTTCACATCTCCCCTACTATCCATTAGGAACTAGTTAAAGAAGAAAAAGAAAAAGAAATAAAATTTTCGCCTACTTACTTCTACTAATAGTACTTAAACCTATATCCTTTATACTCTATATTATAGTCGTATCTAGCGTTAATAGTATAGTCTATAGATCCTAAGAGTAATTCTATATACTACCTAATAGGAGTAGTTTCTAGTATTTTTCCTAGATATTCTTTAATATTATCGTAAGGATATAGATATCTATAATCTACTAAAACGGTTAATACGAGAGTAGTAACTTAAAGGAGGATCGTAGTAGTAGTAGTAGTAGCGAAGATAGTAAGTATAGACCGTATAGTATTTAGTTTTTTTCTTACTATTAAAGTAGTAGATACTATTCTACGAAGGGATATATATAGAAAGAGGGACTCGGAGAGAGTAGTACTAATCTTTAAAAGAAAGTTATTATAAGTACTATACCTATCTACTTATACTCGTATCTAGAAAAACAATATCTCTAGTCCTTAATATAGTAAAGTAATTATAAAACCTATACTAGGATAGACCTTTTTCCTAATAAGGTAGAAAAATAAGGAAGATTATAGGGGACGTCTTACTATCCGGTACTCGAGCTAGTAATAGCTAATACTCTAATAAGACAACGCCCCTTACTACGTTATAGTAGCGACTATTAGTAAGGTACGACACAAAGTGCCTTAACAGCTTGTAGCTAGCACTGCACCCTTCGCTAGACCTTGTAGGTAGGCTTGCTAGCTCTAGGAATGTCCTTGCTATTAGTCTATAAGCGTTAGTCGTTAGGCGTATAGAATCTTCCTAGTTAACTTCGATAGTCTTCTACTATATAGCAATCTATATAGATAGCTTCTATACGCCTTAGTCCACTCCTTTTTATGTCTACAGCACTAGCAGGCCTTCAAAACAGTCACCAGCTGAGTTTAGTACTTCTTAGCAATCCAACCGCTTCAGATTGTCGGTCTTATATACCCTGTTGAAGAGCCCCCGAGCCTTGCGACAGCTGTTTTGTCCAATGGGAGAGCGGCGGATTGTGCCTATATTAAGTTGTAATCTACCACTCGGGCGGCGGACGCTACAATCGAGAGTAGCAGTAAGACTGTGATGACTCCATCTCTTGTCTAATCCCGAGATTTTCAGAGCCCGAGCTGTTTTTGCTCCACGTTGAACACGTAGCAGCCTCTGGAATGGTGGTCCATCATCGTGAGGCCAGAACAGAAGAAGCAGAAGCGTATGACAGCTGCCGGCTCTGTCAGCGTGAACTTGGCCTGCAACAACCAAGCATCGGGCGGGAGGTCCCTTCGTTGTTCAACTCGAGGTAGAGTTGAGAGAGGGCTGTAACGTCGCGGGAAGGCTGTGAACAAGACCAGACTTCTGCTCGTGCGCGTTGCTCTGCACGTGAAACTGCCCTGCGCCCCCAAACCTTCCTTCTGGCAACGAAAATACTGCACCGGAAAGGGCTGCAACGGAGGGAACTGTGTCTGACAATGACGTCCATCTGCCGGGTGAGGGATGAGTGGTTTTCAAACATCGGATAATGCCATTTCAGGACCGCTTCTCATTCGCGGAATATATGCAAAAATTTGCAATGGTTATTGGTTGGTATTCTTTCCTTTCTCATCGTGGCAGTGAGCTTCGTTGGTTGCAAACTGCCACGACCTCATGTCAGATGGTGGGCCAATGCGTGATATGATTGTCGAGCGGCAAGGAGAAAGACTCGATATCAAAATGACTTGCAGCATCTTGCGAAATATCCATGCTGTAATGCGACATCCAGTCCTCGGTGTGAGAGACTTGATTCATCAAATGCTGAGTTTGAGCTGCGATTTCTTCGAGGACGCCGGATTGCGTGCCGACATCACCGTCGACGGAGGAATCGTCGTCGTCAATGTCGGCTGCCACTGGAGTCTGAAGTGCTGTCACTGGATGTGCGTAATGTGGGATCAGCTCGTGGGTGACCATTTGGTAGCTGTCGATATCGTTCCAGTTGTGCAAGAAGCCTTCCGACAAACAGTACAGCCCGGTCTGCCTGTTCACTTTGTACATATCCCGCAGTTCGTATTGCCAGTCAAAGCGAAAGCTTTCTGCAAAGGCGATTGATGCTTTCCCAGCACACTTGTTGATGCCCTCCTTGAGGAGGTGATTGCGCACCTGAGGCCAGCCAAAATAGTCGATAACTGGTGGATGGGGGGTAGCCGATTGCTGGCTCGCGGTTTGCTTCATAAATGCAGCAGTCTGTCGGCGCTCCTGATTCTTGGGCTGTATTTTGTAAAGCAGATGGCATCTCATGCCCCAAAAATGGGCGAATCTCTCTACGGGCGCGGCGCGGTACCACAAGCCCTCGTCAAAGGCTCGTAGGAAACGCCAGACAATGTCGAAATGATGAACTCTTTCGGCGGCATCCCACCCGTGTACGATGGCACGGCTGAGGATATCCATGTCTTCTTCTATTGTCGAGAGGTTGTCAGGAGTTTGTTCGACCTTACTGATGGCTGCGTTGACTCTTTGGAAGTAAGATGTGTCATCGGTCTCTTCACATAGCATGCTGATGCCAAGTACGATGAGGTTGCGAGAGGCAGGTGCCACCTTCGCTCGAGCCTTTCTTGCCGCCGAGTCTACAGGCTTCGGTATCTCTGGAATCCATTGATCCTCGCTGGGAGAGTCCCAGTTTGTGGCAGATATGGGGTCCGGGAAGCTAGAAGAGCTCTCGGCTGTAGAATCTGCTGCGCTTTCCGATTTCAACGCTTGCGTCTTCTCCGGCGAAGAGTTCTGCTCAGCCTTGCCGGTCTCTTGGACAAGCGACCGAATCTTGCCAACTAGACCTTGGAGCTTGTCGATTTCTTGCGCTTGCTGAGATGCATGCTGGGCCAAGTAGTTCGCTCGATTGTCTCCACTGCTTTCGCTTAAGTCGGCCACGGTCTTCTCGAGATGGGCGATGTAGGCCTTCGTCTTCGCACGGCTCGCTCTCTGCGCTTCACGGTCGTGCGCTCTCTTCCTTTCAATTCTGCAGGTGCTCATCGCGTCACTGTTGCGTCGCATTGTGTGCGCAAGAAGGATGCTGAGATGCAATGGCGAACGTGAGTTGAAAGATCGAGCTTCATCCCAAGAGGACCAAAAGCTGACATGCCTCGCGACCCCAGCAGAGTATAATCGCGGGGCCATCGACTGGGGTGAGGTGGAGGAGGAAGAGGGGAAGCCGAAATATCTCCGCGACACGCCATATCGGAGGACTTCACAGAAAGGAGCAGCTGCTGACTTTGTGGTGTGCTGGGCATCGGGCCAGCCAGCAGGGATCGCGTGGCTCTTGGAGGCTGTGTAGGAGCTGCATTACAACTAGGGGTGCCAGGTTGTTAATCACGACTAACGTTAGCAACGTTGCTAACACCATTAATAACGTTGATATAGTCGACTAAGTAGTTAATAACCTAGGGCTAAAGGCCGCTAACTAGAGGTAGAAGGTTATATATATACGACTAGTAATATAGACTATAGAACGAGACACTATATAGACTACTTCTTGCTATAGAACGAGACACTTCTTACTATAGAACGAGACACTTCTTGCTATAGAACGAGACACTTCTTACTATAGAATAGACTACTTCTTAAGCTTAATCGCTCGGCCGCTAGAGCGCTTATCTAAGCGCTTCTACGCTAGCATAGTTACTATAGGTCTCTAGATATTACTAGCTATTATTGTCTTATAAGAGCGACTAGCTAAACAGTAAGTAATTAACTAGAGGGTCGTACTTACTAGAAGCCTAGCTATTAATAGGCTTAAAGAATAGTAAGTGCTATAATAGTTAACTTCTAGTCGGCATTAGAAGCGCCTTAAAGAGCGCTTTATAATTAACTAGCTTATCTTCGAAGTCGTTGTCTTCTTCTTAGAAAGCGGCTAGACCGTATAGATTAAACAGCTGTTTAAGGTTAGGTATATAGAGATAGCGAGGGTTACTCGGTAGTAGGCAATAGTCGTTTATTATAGCTTCTTCGAAGGCTAGTAATACGTCCAATTCCGCCTTCCTAATCTCCTTCTTAGTTGCTAGCTATCGCTGCTATATCTCTCGCAATTTAGCTTGTCGTTGCCTTCTTACTACCTCTTCTACGGGTCTTCTACGCAAGGCGCGGCTATTTATATAGATATAGGTATAGTCGTTAGTACGAGTAGCGGACAGCTTCGAGCGATAGTCGTTCTATATAAAGTTTATAGCGCTAAAGGCTCGCTTAGAAGGCACTGAATTAGTAGGTGTTCTATATAGGCGGAGGGCAATCTCTATAATAAGAGGTACTTTGCGAGCGATAAAGTCCTAATAAGTAGTAATATTGCCGCGCTTACGGTGCCGACTAAGCTCGTTATTGCTAATAGCAAAGAAGCGTTACGTAGAGTCTCGAAACTCGATAAATTCGTCGTTAAATTAGAGATAGCGCTCGTATATAGAAGGATCGTGTTACGGATCTAATTGGTCAGAGTCCTCATATAATCTTAGAGCGACGCTAAGACTAGTAGGCTGAGCTATCGCTCTATCTTACTAGGAGCGACAGGAGCGGTCGAGAGCGATAGCGTCGCTTACGTCGCTTACGACTATAGACAAGATGTCTCCTTTGTATTTAGGAACGCCGGAATGCCCTTATAGTTCGAGGCGTTTAACTCATATTACCTACTTACTGATTGGAATTACCTTTATACCAATTATTCTATCTCTGCCTCCCGCTTATATTAGCCTCTCTAAAGAAGCCTCGGCTTATACGTAATAAGAAGTTACCTAACGATCTATCGCGAGTAACCGTAACACTTTAAACGCCCTTAGGATAAGTGCCTCATTACAAGTCGGAAGGGGAACTCCCGCCCCTAGCGAGACAGGCAGTACTCGACGTACTACCTCTAGTACTAGTAATGCACTCGGAACCTATACCGGAAACGATTCTCTCAAGATCGGAAAGCTAGACTTTTATTACGGCGACCGAGACAAATTCGATACCTAGGTTAGCTAGATAGATATGTATTTCATGTTTAACTAGGTTTAAGATAACTTAAAGCTAGTCTTCGCAACGACGTTTATACGAGGCAGGGCTCAGCATTAGGTTAAACTATTTCTTAGGACCTATCTAGATAGTAACGGGACCGACAATTCGGATAGAATCTTCGCAAGCTACGAAAATCTCAAGCGTACGATAAAGAAGGTCTTTAGATCTTCTAACGAAGTTGCTACCGCAGTTAGGGTTATCTAACATTTAACTTAGAAGGGGTTATATGCCGATTACGCCGCCAAATTTTAGGAATACGCCTAACTTACGGATTGGGACGACGAAGCTCTTATAACAATATATCGGCGAGGTCTTAAGGACAACGTTAAAGACGAGCTTATACGCGACGGTAGAAAAATAGATAATATAGGAATATTAGTTAAGGTTACGATCGATCTCGACGATAGGCTCTACGAACGAGCTTTAGAACGACGTTACGATTCTAAGACTTCTAGAAAAGCTAGTTATACTCCTAGATACGATAATAGACGAAACTACAGTACCTACGATAAACTAAAAGGGAACAACTACTACGGTGCGCAACCAATAGAGCTAGACGCTACTTAGAAGGGTCGAGCAATTAAAGGAAGAAAAGGCAAGAGTTCGCCTAAGAAAGCAGGAAGATTAACTTGCTATACGTATAGCAAGGAAGGCTATATAGTACGGAACTACCGCGGCAAGAATATAGTGCGACGCGAACAGTTTAATATAATGCAACGAAAGGACTCGGGCAGAGAAGGCTACCGAATAGTAGTAGAGCTATACTCTATTAATAACGCGCCGAGGACCTACGCAGAGGTCGTAAAGGAAGAGCTACGACAAATCTATATAATAGCACGACGACAAGAACCCGTATATAGAGCCCTTTACTAGAGATTCTGTTACGACGACTAATGCCAAATTCATTATTCTACTAAAGTAGAAGCAGGATTTTTCCCTTAGATTAGGCGACTCGTACGAGAAGATGCGAAATCCTAGTTAGAAGAAGAAACGATTAATAAATCTTACTTAGATGCCGACGATAAAGAAAACCGAGATCCGGAAGCTTTATTCCCTTCCGGGGAGGAGTTAGGAGCTATCCTAGAAGTACCGGAGTCCCCTTAGTAAGAGGAGGAACAGCAAGAAGATTTAGAAGGAAGTCTAGATACCGAGGAAGAAACTACGAATAAAGAAAGTGAAGACGAATTCGGGATTAACGACGATACGATCCTTACGTTCATAATAGATGTACCTATAGCAGCGCGAACAATCGCCTTACATCTAGTACGCAAATACGAGGAAATGTTTCTAAAGGTTAACGGACAACGGAAGGTCGATCCTATCTAATTTAATTATTTCTAGATAAGCTTACGGGCAAAATTCTAGAATCACCCCCGGATACCTATAGACTATACGTACTATAACTTCATTACGGAGCGAGTACCGATAGGAAGCACAATTACGCCCTACGGATACGTCCTACCCGACGAAAGGACGATTATTACTCAAGATATACGTTAGACGGTCTAGCGATTAAATCAGCAATACCGAAAGGCTATAGTAGCGTAGGGACAAGATGTATACAACGATACCCTCGAGGAAAAATTATATGCCGAAGAAGCACGAACGGCAGGACTACGGATCCGTAACTAGTTAGAATAACGTTAGGCTACTAATCAGTCGGGAAACGGACCAACTCTCTAGATTAGAGCGTTCTAAGAGAGTTCCTTAATACCGAAAGCGCTTAAGCATTAACAGCAGTCTTCCGTATAAAAGTTATCGTTAACGGGCACCCGACGAGTGCATTAATAGATTCCGGAGCGAGCGGGAACTTTGCCTCCGAATTATTCGTTAAAAGCCGAGGGATCGTAACCCGAAGTAGAAGAGAAGGAGCGTATAAACTTATAGCAGTAGATAGGTTACCGCTACCTAGCGTAGAACGAGAAACGATACCGTTACTACTAGCTATCCAACAGCACTACGAGGAGATTGTCTTAGATGTTACTAACATAGCTAGTTATAATATTGTATTAGGTATACCTTAGTTAAGAAAGTATAACCTAATCGTAGACTAGAGAAAAGGAGTACTTACATTTAAGGAATGCGACTATATAATCGGCATTTAACCTATATAGCGGCAGCGTTCGCAGGCAGATAAGATTAATAAACGCAGGGCGATTCGTAAGACGTTTACGTCGACAGGAATTACGGAGAACCGTATTCAACCCGGATCGACACTACCGTTAGGTTAGGAGGGTTACAATAATAATTACGGGAAGGATAGAAGTTATACGCTATCGAAGAATAAAGCTAGAATCTCGGACCTAGACATTCCTAAAGAGTATACTAAGTAGAAGCGACTCTTTAAAGAGGAGAGAGGCAAGGCAGCCTTACCTAAATACTAACTATAGGATTATAAAATACACTTACAGCCTAGAAAAGAGCCTCTATAGGGACCCTTATACGCAATGTCTAAGAAAGAGCTCAAAACCCTAGACAAGTAGCTAAAAGAGAAATTAGAAAAAGGCTAGATACGGAAGTCGACATCCTCGGCAGCCTTACTAGTAATGTTCGTTCCGAAAGCCGGATTAGACGAAGGACGGCTAGTAGTCGATTTTAGACGACTTAACGACATTACAATTAAGAATCGGTACCTACTACCGAACATCGAAGAAATACAAGACCGATTAACTAGATTAGACTAGTATACGAAGATTGACCTACGCGATGCGTTTTACGCAATACGTATAGCAGCTAGATACGAATGGATAATAGCATTCCGAATAAGATATAGGCTTTACGAATTCTTAGTTATGCCTATAGGACTTACAAATGCCCTAGCGTTATATTAAGACCTTGTGAACGAAGTCCTCCGAGACCTTCTAGATGTATGCGTTATCGCATATATAGACGATATCTTAGTCTATACTAAAGGAGCTCTCGCGGACTATATACGAATAGTGCAGGACGTCTTTAAACGATTTACTCAAGTAGGATTTAAGACTGCACCTAAGAAATACGAATTCTATAAGAAGGAAGTTAAATTCCTAGGA